TTGGGGGGGGCGGGGGGATAATTGTTGGCTTGTACAAGGATAAGCAGAGATATTCTTTTCACAGTTGCTTGCTTTTCTCAAGTGTCCAGCTTCCTAAAATCCCTTTTAATAAGTGTTATTCACATGTAAGTCAGCTTCTCTTTTTGATGGCATAACAACAATGTTTTTTGTAATCTGGCCAAGTACAGCCTATTTCAAAAAAACATGTAGCTAACAGGTGTGTACTTCCTGCCCACAGACGAAATTGGCATCTGACCCTCTGATTCCAAAATACGTGTAAGTATTCCCTCTAGGGAGGAATGGGACTCATTTCCTTTTCCTCACCCTGTTTCCCACAGGAAAAGCCAACTTTGAGGAGAATTTCCTAGATGTCCTGGATGTGCTAATCCTCACCTCACTAGAAGGATCGAGATAGAATCATTTCAGAAATATTTCATTGTGTGAATGCATTCTTCAGCCTCAAGTAATTGTAAACAACATTTAAAAAACTTAATTCAAGTTTTGAATTAGCAGCAGATTTTCCTAAGTTATATAAAAGGACATATAATTATTACTATAATCATTACTTAGTTATGAGATAAAAGTTTCAAAATATGGTTTAGCCTAGTGTTTCTCAAATTTTGGGGTCTATCAAAATCTTTTCTAGATCTTGGCAAACACACACGCACACACACACGCACACACACACACACACAGACACACGCACACACACACACACAGACACACACACACACACAGACACACACACACACACACACACACAGACACACACACACACACGCACACACACACACGCGCACACACACACACACACACACACACACGGAGGTCCAGGTTTTACCCATCTGGGTCTCTATTCTATATTAACTCTCCAGGTGATTCTGACACACACCAAAGCTTGATAATTTCTGGTTTAGATAATCTTGAGGAACATGAGCTGACTTCTACCCACTAATGGCCTGTCATCTTCGCTGTCATAGCTACATCTGTATTCTTTAGAGCAGAATCTCCCACATGTCAAATTAGTCCTCTCTTAGCTCCACAACCCCACCCACCACTCTGAGAACGGGGAAAAAAGCCAAAGAAAAGGCCAAAATTGCAAGTGCTGTGCAACTATTGTTACATGTACCCAAGCTTCTTCTCCGCTCCTAGTCACTCTTTCTGGCAATTAAGTCCCAGATATTCAATTTCATATGGTTATATGACCGACATTTGAAAAGCTTGTTACCCAAGTTCTTCATCTCTCCCATTAAAAGCCTGATCTTCCACCTCTAGTCCCTATTCCAGGATATAAAAGAAGAATGAATCATTATCCTTACATAATCTTTTAATCAGTAAAAATAGCCATGTAAGAACTCTAGCAAATCAATGTAAAACTACGATACCCTACCAGATTGGAAAGAATTTATGTTTATAGCTAGGCAGACCCAGGTTATAATTTCAGCTCACTTACTAATACAATGAGAATGTAAAAAAAAAAAATTATCAAACTTTCTGAGCCTCCTTTTTTCTAAGCTCTGAAATGAGGAAAATCAAACCCAAACCATTTAAGTAATTAAATGAAATTTCTATAAAGCACATAAATGGACATTGTATACTCACAAATATTATATTTTTTCCCTAACCGAAAAAAAAAAAAAAAAAAAAAAACCTGAGGTTAAGAAAGTCAGCTAATCACTAAACTTTTCCTGGACAGATAAACTTATGATCAGAACATATAGGTAAAGGAAACAGCAAACCCATATCTCCACAGCCTAGGAAAGAAGGGAAAATAATATGTGGAGAGTGTTTGATTATTGAAGAAAAAGGGGTATAGCTTCTTCATTCCAGGCCACATCTAAAGAGAATGTAAAAGATACTGGAATCAGATTCCTTAACTAACAATTTTAGTGACAAGGTAGCAATGCAAGCACTTCACTATGCACTAAACAGACTGATGAAAATGTAGTGGATAATGCCATGTTTCTCCTAAAATACAGCATTTTTTATTAAAAAACAAAAAGAACTAAAAAAATTGCTGGGTTATAAAGATTAGTATTTTTTTACCCTAGATATATTATTTTGTACTACTATATTTAATCACTAATAACATTCACATATAATTGCTATAAATGTGCTACTTATTTTTAAAATTTCAAATTGTTTTATTGCCAGCATCTGCCCTCCCAGACTATTAAAAAAACATTTAACTTAAATACTCTCAGTGGGAAAAAACATCCCAGGAATATATAGGACTTCATTTTACAGCTCACAAAATTTACAAAGCAGGCACTGATAACAACTAATGATAATCCTCCCTAAAACAAAGAAATTAGTACACAATGTTTTCAGTCTTCACAAGAGCAAAACAGGGGCTGTGTGCCTGCAAGACAAACTGAGATGATTAACTGAATACTCCTGGAGATTTAAACCATGTGCCAAAAGACATGCACGAATCCAAAAATCCTGTTGTAAACATGAAGATCAAGTTGAATGCGTTTTAAAGAACGATCTGTTCTCTCTGGGGCCTAAGTCACTCACTGGTAGTTGGTTGGGCACTTAAGAAATCATATTCATGTCAAACACCTAAATATTCAAAGATATTATTACGAATCAGTCTAGTTGTTCTATTCTAAGATGAAAGAAAAGAATCAAAAAGGAAGTATTTTTCTAATGTCACCTATGTACCATATGCTTTTATTTATTTATCTCATTGATCTTATAACACCCCTGCCTTGATAATGTTATAAATCCCAGCTTGACAGGTGGAGAAACTGAGTCTTGATGAGGGTGAGTAATTTGTCCAAGGTTGCACAGAGTAGGTGGCAAAGTTGAGACTCAAATTCATATTTAACTGACCCCAAAGTTCATGCCACTTCTATTACACAATTCAAATGCATTCAAATTTTTTTAATTACCTGTCTTTCACATTTAGCTTTTCTCCATTTCCTTACCTCTATGAACCTACGGCGAATCATTATACCCAAACATTATTTCCATTCAATTTATTATTAAGGAAAATACAGAAAGCAATTTATATTTAAATATCTAAAATTTAAATTAATAGTACTTTATGATATTAAAAATCATCCCAGTTGCAAGATATTTTCACACACATTGCCACATTTCTACTTCACTAAAAAAGAGACCAAGGGTAAAAAATGAAGAAGAGCAGAATTCTTCTTCTCAAGAAGAGCAGAAGAATTAAGTAGTAATGAGGAATTGGAATCAATATTCTAATCACTTTACAAGCATGGATTCTTTTTCTTACCAACAACCTCATAAGCAGTGATACCTATTTTACAGATGAAGAATACAGACTCAGAGTGACATAAGAGAATGATACGGTCAGAATGTAAATTTTCATTTGTCTTCAGAACTCTTCTCCTATGTCATGTTTCTTTGCCTCTAAGCCACACTCAAGTTGAATGACACACACAAAAGGAAAAAAAGAAAGACAGAATCTTGAAAATACTTTGGACTTAACCAGGCTAACCTCAAAAGATAACTCCTCTCTCAAAACTTCTCTGATTATCTCTCTGTACCTCTTTTGACCTGAGGATTGTGTCCCATACACTTGCTACATGCTTCAGAGTCTAAGAAAATAAGTAGCACATTGTTCCTGCCCTCAGGAGTTTACAGTCTAGGAAGAAGGAAAAAGTCTACCATTGAATGGACTCTAATATGGAAGCATACATTTAAACAAATGCTGAGTGAATTAAAATATTAAAGACAAAACAAAATATAAACTAGAAAAAATATAACCTTGAAAGGAGGATAGATTTTATAAGCAGAAACAGTGAAGAACACATAGAGGAAAAAAATGCAGTAGATCTGTGACTTTCATGTTATGGGTCACTCTTTATGAATTCCCTTTCCATAATGTGTGTCAATTTTTCTATTGAACTCTTCCTTTCTCTGCTGATTTGTAAGAGATTTTTATATTTTAACGACATTCCCACTTTGTACACCATTTACCTTGGAAATATATTTTCCTAGATGGCTCTTTGTTTTTGAATTTTGATCACACATTTTGTGATTTGATTTTTAATGTTTAGGTTATGTTTAATCTTTTACATTATGCTTTATTATTTTGCTTTATTATGTTTACTTAGACCTTTTAAATTTTAATATTATGTCATAATTTCACACATTTCTCAAGTATTTTTAAGAACTTTTTTACCTTTAACATTCTAATTAATCTGAGAGTTATTTTGATATTTATTGAAAAGTAAGAATCCGACTTAAATATTTTTCAGCACTATATTCACAACTATTGCATGAAATATACTTTGTGCATTGATTTGAATTGCCACCAGTACTTTATGCTCAATTCTTGTATAAAGTTTCTTAGCCTTCTATTCTCTTCCACTCCAGCTCTTCCTTCGCCTCCTACTCTTCTTTCTTTTCCTCCTACTCTTCTTCTTTCTTCACCTTCTCTTCCTTTCCTTTCCTTCCTTGTAGTTACTTCACACCATGCAAAGTTTGTGAGCTATAGAATAATACAATTCGTCCTGATCTTCAGAACTAAGACTTGTGCCAGTAACAGGAAAATAGAAAACTTAACAACAGTGTGGTTGAGGGTAGCAGTGAAAGAGAAAGGAGAGAGGCATAGGTGATTCTGCGGAGAGACAACCAGCTTGATAAAGTAATCATCTAGTGGTAGGACTCAGCCAGAATAACACACACACACACACACACACACACACACACACACACACACACACATCGAATGCAGTTGTCAGCAAGGCTGGTAGTATTCATATGAAATAGGGGAACCCAGAAGAAGAAGGTGAGTAGGAGGAAGAGAGAGATCTTGAGATTTGGAAGGGACTGATAATTGACCCCTCACCTTACAATCCTAAACAAATAAATCCTAACCTATGCCTGTGACTTTGAGAATGGTGCTGTGTCAACAGATAAAGTAGCTTTTAACATGGAAAAGAAAAGCTTGCTGTGCCTATGATTTAACTGAAAAATCCATTAAATTAGTGAGAAAACAATTACTCATACACTTTGAGAAAATTCCAGTGTCGTTTTACTTACCAGACAAAGTGGAAAAATATACAGAGACAAAATATGTATTATCAACAATGATATTACGGATTTTAGTTTTTCCTTCTTTCTATGAAATACAAAATGCCATGAAACAAACAAAGTAGCAACCCGTATTGAACACCACTGAGCTTTTGAAAACTAGTTGCTTCTCTTATTTAATGATATGCAATAGTCTATACAGGAATTATTTCTCTTGGGAGGTTGTTGAAGCTGTTAAGATTATCAGGACCCTGTATGGAAAAGGAGCATCTGGAGCCTTTTTTAGTCTTCCAAACCATTCACTTCCACTGGCACTCTACTTCCCGGGTCTCTTACACGTCACCGAATTCAATGCTCTTCAACGAACTCTCTCCTTCACTGAGCAGCTGCAAAGCAAAAGGAAGGATAAAGTGGGATCAGCAGACAACAGGGAGGGATAAAGCCCTGACTAACTAAGGCTTTGGGTCGGATGAAACTGTTATCTCTATTTGGTGAACCAGATGTTAACATTCCATGCTCATTCGGAGAGAGTTCTTTGACTGATTTCACAAAGGTTTTTGAGGAATGTAATTCATTAGTATGAAGACTTTGTCATGGTTCAGTAACTACAAAGCTCCCTTCATTGTGTAATCCCTTACTACACCTATGCAGTAGTCCCTGATTTATTACAGTAAATTGTTTTGCCTTTAAAAGGGAATTCTTTATTTACACACAGGCTCATGGATGAATGCAGAGATTTTTTTTTCCTTTCTTCATCTTCATTGAATGCAGAGATTTTTTTTTTCCTTTCTTCATCTTCATTCTCTGGTATTGACAAATTTCTCTATTTTTGCATAGATTTCTTTTTCTTTTTAAAGTTATTCTTAACTTTTAGTTTTAGGGGTACATATGCAGGTTTATTTTTAGTTTCAGAAGTACTTGTGCAGGGTGATACTGCATATTACAGGGGTTTGGCGTACTGATTATTTAATAATCCAGGCAACAAGCATAATACCTGACAGGTAATTTTCCTAATTCTCACCCTCCATCCTCAAGTAGGCCCTGGTGCCTGTTGTTTCCTTCTTTGTGTCCGTACATTCTCGTAGTTTAGCTCTCACTTGTAAGTGAAAACATGCAGTATTTGGTTTTGTTTCTGGGTTAGTTTATTTATGATAATGTCCCCCAGCTGCAAAGGACGTGATCTCACCTTTTTTGTGGTTGCATAGTATTCCATGTTGTATAGGTACCACATTTTCTTTATTCAGTCTAGCACTGATGGGCATTTAGGATGATTCCATGTTTCTTTTCTTCTTTCTTCTGTATGATTTCTACAATTCTCTTATCTATGCAGAGAAAGAGGATGAATGAGAATTGTAGAAATGAGTGTGTGTGTGTGTGTGTGTGTGTGTGTACATAAAGGTATGTATATATAGTTTTTGTTTGGTTTTCCTTTCCACTTACCACCTGATTCATCCTCCCACTTCCCCTGAGGCATTATGACAAAAAAAAATACAACTTAGCTATAGTCAGGCTTGGGCCCTGGTGCCAGTTTTGTCCCTAATTAGCCATGTGACCTTGAACCAGTGCTCTCATTATTAATTAAGGTGATTAGATTTTGCCCCTTTCATCTGTAGACCTCTATTATACTAAGTCAAAAAATATTTTAAAAATCAACAAATGTACTCAAACTTTTATCAAGTTGATGTGAATCAAGAAATGAATGAAAGCTGCACTATTCAATACAGTAATTGCTAGCAATGTATGGCTATTTAAATTTAAATAATTTAAAGGTAGTTGAGTAAGGTAAGGTAAATAAAATGAAACAACTCCTTTGTTGTACTAACCACATTTCAAATGCTCAACACCTGTATTTGGCTAGCAATCAATATCCTGGACAGCACAGAATGTAAAAAATTTACTCCACCATAGAACGTTCTAATGGGCAGCACTTAGAATAACTTTGTATATATAAACCACCATGTAAAATACAAACACAAAAATAACAATCCTTGCCTTCCAGAGCTTGCAATTGTGATAATCAGATTATATTTGCAGTATTAAACGAATATATTGTTCAAGACTGCATTAGAGATGATATCAAAATGTAGAATATGTCCTGCTTTCTTATCAGAGACCTCCTTTATCTTCAGTTCCCACATCTATAAAATGAGGAGACTGTACTAGAAGATCTCTACATTTATGTCTGCTTTTAACTGATTAAGATTGTATAACTCTACTGAATTTATGTGTTTACATGATTGACTTTAGTCTAAGGAAATGACAGAATTTAAACTGGGCCTTGAATGATGTTTAAGGTTGGGGTAAGTGGAGAAATAAGGACAGGGTATAAGTAGAGGATGGCGAATAAAAAGACAGAATGTACCAAAACAGGTTTAAGGTCACCCAGGAATGTCCCCTGAAACTGAGGGTTTCAAATAAGATTTAAGTGATTGTTAGTCAGGAATGGAGCTTTCTCCTTAGGTTGGAAAGCTGACTACTGAAGTCTTGTTCAATTCTAAGTATCTTCAATCATAAAAGTATGAATTGGTATATATGAATGTTGTTAGAGTTGAGGGCATATGAAAAGAAGAGGTGGCAGTAATTATTAGTTAGGTTATGGTATCCAAATCAACACAAAGTTAGTTTGGATCTTTCACCCAACTAGGGGTGGGCAAATGGGAAGGGGGGAACCATGGAGAAATACAAGTGGAACAATCTCAAGAACAAACAATGTAAGAAAATAAATAGTCTCTGTATCATGTTGAAGAATTTTATGAAGATAAAAATACAATAATTTTGACTATCTGAAATTATTACAACTTCCCCAAGATAAACCTAAACTTCATTCTTAGACTAGATTGGTTCAGAATCTCCTGCAGCATAGCTCTAGTCTGAGGGCTGAAATCATGATCAAGTCATTTCAGAGAGCAAAATAGAATACCTTCCCAAGGACAAAGAATGTGTTCCCTGCCTACTTAGAAGGATGTTCTTTCAACATGTCTACCTTCCTGGTGGGAACCAGTTTCAGAAGTCTGTAATCTCATCAAAGGAAGCCAAGTGGCAGAGAAGTTCTCCACAGGGGAAATTAATCAGCAAGGCTTCCTTTCTTTCTTCCAGGCCCTTTTCATTTGTTTTCCTGGGGGCTAACTTCCAAGCTATTGAAATTTTCCTTGATCCCTCTCAACCTTCAATTAGATTTGAGGAAATGGCGGTTTCCCCTGGTTTCTTTCTTTTAAACTCATCCTTTTGAATCAAAGAGTTAGTTAGGTCTTAGCACAACGCATCGTCAGTCTGACATTTGGCATTTTGCAGCCTTGGACATTGGCTTGAAATGGGTCTGGATGCAGAGGCCTGAAAAACTGTTACTTTCATCAAGAAAATTTTCCTTCAGGTACTGTAAAACAGTTCTGGACACAAGGTAATCTGATGGCCTTAGGATGTATTGAGAATCTTTAAGATTGATAGCAATATACAGTTGGTTATATCCCAGCTAAATGAGTCAAAGCTGAAACTCTCCATCTCTTAAAGGAGGGGCACGGTGGCAAACCTCAGGAGTTTAAGCAAGTTTTTTACCGAGGTAATTAAGCCTGTAAACTTTTAGTCCCAAATCCACAGGGAAGTTCTAACAATCCTCTTCCTTATACTAAAAAATGTGGCAATCCTGACTTCTGCTTTCTTTCTTTCTTTTTCTGAAACATGGTCTTTCTCTGTCACCCAGGCTGGAGTACAGTGTCATGATCATGGCTCACTGCAGCCTCAACCGCCCAGGCTCATGTGATCCTCCCTCTTCAGCTCCCGAGGAGTAGCTGGGACCATAGGCACATGCCACCATGCCCAACTAATTTTTATGGTAGATATGAATGTTGTAAGAGTTGAGGGCATATGAAAAGAAGTTTTTGTATTTTTTTCATACAGAAGAAGTTTCACCACTTTGCCCAGTTTGATCTGAAACTCCTGATGTCAAATGATTTGCCCAGTTTGACTTTTCAAAGTGCTGAGATTACAGGCGTGAGCCACCACACTCAACCAGTCTTTTTTCTTTTCTTTCCTTATCTTCACAACTGATCAAAGAGGCACAGAACTACTCCTCTCCAAAGAAAATGGGAGATCAGTGGCTTCTCAGCTAAACATAGACGCATGCTTATTAGGTGAGCCATAATTTCCCTACCCCTACCCTGATGATTACTAAGCTTTGTGTTCCATTTGCACACATATTGGAGAACCAAGCTGGATGTCATTTTAAAAGCCATGAGACAGACTGCTAGGATCTTAGGTCAAGGAAAAGAAGAACCTCTTAGCTTGCCCTTTTGAGTTAAAAGGCTCAGGTTCTAAAATATTACTTTGATAATCTGGTGCTGCACAATAGCCATTTTGATACTTTCAGGTCAACAATTGACCGAGTCATCACTTTCTCTAGTCAGTGAGGAAGTGGTTGCCCAGAATTACAGCAATGCACATTCTGTTCCTTGTTATAAATAAAACATGGGATTGTACTGTTTCTGACATGAATTATCCTGCTACCTGCTATAATGTCAGTCATATTACAATGAAGATAGCCAAAACAGACCAGACATTGTGTGGCTTCAAAGGTTTTCTTATTTTGCTTTTCCAACTCCCATTTAAGAAAGGCACTAGCTGAAGCCTGAAAATGAAAAGCACTTCTGAGTTGGTCTACAGAGACCGCCTACTTAATTATAACCAGCACTGAGGGAATGTAACACTATCCCAGTCACACAATAAATGTTAGCAGTAGTCAAATGATAAAGTTTCCTTTCCTTCTTCTTATAGTTTCCCCAATGCTAGAAAGGCATCCTGTTTTGTGTACATTTTTTAAACGATGTGTTTAAGACATTTAAATAGTCCTATTTATAAGCACCAGAAAACAGCTGTTCATCTCCAAGTTATAGGTCTTGGAGGGTGCCAGGGAAATAAATACTGAGCCTCATAATGATTCTCATAAACAGTTGAATTTATCTCTTGGCAACTTTTCACAACACCTTTAGCAAACAGGGCACCCATGCGTGAAACAGAAATAATTAGGCACATGCCCCTAAGTGACAGGCTTTCACATGCACAAGAAAGGCAGTCTTTTTTATTAGCCCACTCCCTGCTGTCCACCAACGCCTCCACCTTCAATGCCATTTGAGAAATCAATCAGTATACAGGTTCAAACAAATCTCACTCCCTCCAGAAACTCTTTTTTTGCACCTCAGGGTGAAGTTTTCCTCCTGGCAAATCATCTAAAGGTTCACTCCAAATGCAATGTGGGCTGCAGCAGCAAAAACACCATGTCATTCTCTTGCTTGTTCAAACAAAAGATGTGGTCTTCTAAGATTCTTCCTAGCACCTTATGGGAGTGGACCATACTACCTTCTTGATTTAAAAATTTCTTGAAGCCCTGTACATGTCAGTAGATGTTGTTTGTGGAGAATCAGTAGTTAGGCTGAAACTCTCAGCTCCAGATGGTGGCCTCACTTCCTAGGGAACATCCAACTTCAGATTGGACAAGTAGTTCTCCAATCTTTCTAATTTCTGTACTAAATGTAGAAAAGTTGACACAAAATTCACAGGACAAGAGTTCACCCATTTAAGTGAAGCTTATTATACTGGGAAGTATCAAAAGACATCAAAATTCTAGACAAGTGCTACAGAGGAAATATCAGGCTAAATTAGCACTAATGTCAGTGAGTGATAACACCCAAATTAGCACTAATGTCAGTGAGTGATAACAAAGGTAGGGGGCATGTGGGGTTTCACTCCAGCTGAACTGAGCTCACTTTGTTAGGAAGAAGAATTAGCTTTTAGGGGACTTAAGATTTTCCCAGAAAATCTGTGAATTATCTTGAATGTACATATACTACCCCAAACCCCTAGATCTAATGTTAAACATATTGTGATGAGTGTTTTCTACTATTCCATTGGTATTTTAGGATTCTCCTGTCTGGGCTAACATGGATGGCCCTGAGATATGCTATGATGACCATTTTACTGATGATATCGGCAATAGCAAGTGTTTGGGGTTTCTGTCACAACACAGTTTTGGGAAATCTCTGAATCCCAGATAGAATACCATTTAGCTAAAAGTGAGTCCCTGTTGCTCATGCACGAAGCTTTGTCCTTTTACTGTATTCATTATGACCATACAAAGTGAGGTCAGTGATATTATCCAATTTTTCTGAAGAATGTGCTAAGGCTTACAAAGACTAAATGACATACCTGAGGTTGCATAACTAGTAAGTGTCATAG